CCGTTATTGTTTTCACTGTACCTTTTGCCTTTTGGCGTGATTTTCCAGAAACAAAGTGCCATTCCATCTATACGCAGATGACTGTCAGCTCTACTTACCTTTTAGTCATTCTGATAGTCTCCAAACTCGACCTCTGCTTGACTGCCTTACTGATGTCAAAGCATGGATGGCAAAAAACTTTAAATTTTAATGATCGAAAGACAGAAGCAATTTTATTTGGCCCAAATCATTCTTCTCATACTCCGGATGTTGATCTTGCAGCTTTGACTTCCCAACTAAAGAGTTCGATCACAAATCTTGGAGTTAAAATTGATTCTGCACTTACCTTTGATGACCATGTAAACGGGGTGGTAAAATCAGCATTTTATCACCTCAGACGCTTATCAAAGGTTAAGCCCTTTCTTTCCTAGTGTGACTTGAAAGTGTTATTCATGCCTTTATTACCTCATGTTTCGATTATTGTAATTGGCAGAAGAAAATTTGATCACATCACTCCAATTTTGGCCTCTCTACACTGGCTTCCAATTGAATTCAGGATCCGTTTTAAAGTCCTTTTATTGGTTTTTAAATCTCTAAATGGTTTGGCACCTGTTTATTTGTCTAACTTGTTGAAGCCCCACGTCCCCACTCGTTCCCTTCGGTCAGCTGAGCAGTTGCTGCTTTCAGTCCCAAAGTCACGGCTGAAACTTGGAGACCGAGCGTTCTCTGTTGCTGCGCCGATGCTTTGGAATAACCTTCCTCTCCATATTAGACAGGCTACATCAGTGCCAGTTTTTAAGCCTTTATTAAAAACCTATTTTTATTCCCTGGCTTTTAACTCTGTCATGAACAATAGTAATTCCTTTATTCATTCAACTTGAAGTGCCACACACTAGTTTGTGTCATTATTGAGATGTACATAAGAATGATTACGCAGTTACACAATCATCCCAAAAACTGTGTACTGATAGATTCCACTTTCTCTTTTGTATCAGACATACTGAGACAATATTCGGGATAAATAACCATGAAAAACAATTTATTTATTCAGTTTAGTGGTTTACACATCACATCATTATAATCATTGAGCCCGTTTCACTTGAATTGTCCACTTGATGGCGCAGTAGAGCAAATGAATCATCACAATGCTTCGAACCATGAGTCGACCAGTTGGATGGGAAG